AACAAAAAGTGATCAGAGCAAATTGCCTAATGAGACTCACATTTTGCTGTGAGTTGCTAATGAAAGTGGAAACCCAACCTACCATTAATTTGGTCCTGGGAGAAAAACTTGGCCTGCAGCAGAGAGAAGAAGGCAGTTAGGGAGGGACCCCACGAAAGCCCCCCCACCCCCCCGCTTCCCCTCCACCTCCTAAGCCCCGGGCAGCCCGGCCAGGGCACACGGACCCTCACGCACCATCTCGGGGCCTCCGGCTGCCACCCGCGCGCGGGCTCACCGCTCCCAGAACTGCCCTCTCGTTCCCTTTCCTCCCGGCTTCAAGTCGACAGTCCGCCAAGCTGGGCGGAGGCCCGGGTAATAAATCCGCCGCTGCCATGGAGACCAGGCGCGACGCCAGGGGTCAGATTCCAGCTCCCGCGCATTGCTGATGCCCCGGCCTGCCTGGGCCCGGAGGCAGCTGGGATTTGGAGCAAAACGAGGCTGCATGAGGGCTTCCCCGGCACCGGGAGGCTGGTGCTCTGTAGCCCAAGGACAAACGCTGCTGTTCGTTCCTGGGAGCCCCCTGCGGACACTCAGAAGGGGGGTCAATGATACACACACACAGAGGGTCGCAGGGTCCCGCCCCGGGCCTGCCTCCGGGGTGGGGGTGGGGGATCTTTCCTCTCTCTCTCTCTCCTGGGACTGAGTTGGGGGCGGACAAGCTCCTCCCAGGTGCCGGGCACTGCACACTGCCTTGCTCAAGGCCCATCACACACCATCTTGTAAGTGGAAGGAAACCCCGCCATGATGGCACAACCCAGCAACAGCCGCCTCCACCGCCAGAGCCTGGGGATGCCGTGAGCAGGAGGGACCCAGGCCCTGGTGCTCTCGGCCTGTTCGCTAAGTGACCTTGGTGCGTCATTTCACTGTTCTGTGCCTCAGTGTCCTCGGCTGGGCCTCATCCCAGGGCTGTTGAGAGTCAAATGGCCAGTTCCCTCCCTCGGGGGCAGGGGGTGGGGGAGGTGCCCGCGTTGGGGTCTCCCGCCCCACCACGGGCTACCCAGGGGGCGCAGAGGGAGGCCTCTCTGGCAACTTTCCTGGCCAGTTGGACTCCCCCTTTCCTTCCTTCCTTCCCCTCCTCTCCCCACTGAAGCCCCTGCAGAAGCTGCTGACTCTTCATTTCCTCAGCGGTTTGTGCCGCCCGCCCCTCCCCACACGAACTGAGGAAGTGAAGGCAGGATGGGGCGGTTCCCTGGAGCTGCCGCACTGGGCACAGCTGGGTCTCCCCCTTGGTCTCCCAGATACCTGTTGTATCCCTTGTCCAAAGGCCGGCCAGTGGCTGCCCTGCCTGAGGGGGCTCTGACTCCAGGGTCCGCACACTTTGTCAGGACCGGCATGGACGGCTGCACAGGTGATGCACTGCACCAGGGCTCCCGGCTCCAGGGATGAGTGGGTCCTGGAAAGGAGCTGCACGTGTGCAGAGGAGGGACCTGTTGCTAATTTGCTCAGGATGCATGGGTGGGGCCCTCCTTGGTCTAGTCTCCCTCCTACCCTCGCCACCTCGGAGGATTCTGACGAAAGGCGAGTTGTGGGCCGGAGAGAAGGGGCACTTCCCCTTAACAGCCTTGAAGAGAGAAGAGATGAGGGAA